CTACTGCTACTACTGCTACTACTGCTACTACTGCTACTACTGCTACTACTGCGACTACCACTACCCCTACCATTAACTACTAACTGCTACTAATTACTTCTAGTTACTAAATACTACTAACTACTGCTAACTACTACTAACTAGGTCCACGGCTCATAGACGGCCGAGAGGTTTTGTAGGGTTTTTGGTAGGTTGCAGACGTCGTAAACCTTTAGCCTGCTCAAGTTTCTTACTGGTTTGGGAACTTTTTGTATTGAGACCGCAACCTGACAGGGGAGGACTTAAAATGAGCCTTTCGCTACAACGAGGAAGCACATTTTGATAGTTTTACAACGTCCAAACTACTTAGTTTTTGAGAGACTGGATGTTTTGGATGTTTTCAATGCACCTTCAGCCTGACTGGGGGCAAATGTTGTCAGCTTCAATCTGAGCGTTTGGAGAAAGCGAAATGCACATGTTTTACTTCAACAGCGTCGACAAGTGGTTCAAGAACTCGCGTGGAGTCTCTGACATGTTCTTGGCGGTATGCATACATGTACACGTACTTACAGCCTCTCTCATTCAGCATGCTATGCCCATCTTTCTTTTGCTTTGCAACCAAGTGATGGGGCAAGAAAGTCTTCAGACTCAATCATGTGCGATCACGCAACTGTGAGACACGGCATCATATAACGTCGTAAAAAGAACACGAGACACCGCGGCCGTCTACAAGCCGTTGTCCCCTTCCTCCTCCTCCTCCTGCTCCTCCTCCTCCTACTACTTACTAGGAATTACTGTTTCCCTTGTCCAGCCTGGCTGCGGCTTAGAGCAGCACGATCAACACTGTAGCCAAGAAAGGCTGAAACGGCACACAGCAATTGTAATCCGTTACACCTCAAGATGTTGGTAAACTAAGTAAATCACAAACTGCAGACACAAGAGCATGACCAGCACAAAGAATGTTCCTGCAATACAAGACATCTCTGTGCTCTTACCGGCTCGGAGTTTGTTCCACCAGAAGCGCGAGCAGCTCAACCAGCAGTTCTTGCGGCATGGAAGCACAGGCCTCTCGTGCAGCCTGCAGAAGAAACATGAGGGACTCAAATCCGTCGAAGCGGCAAATATTCCTAACATCTCAGGTGAGGACTCCATCATTCCAGGGTTCGCTGACCACTATGGCACACTTTGGACCCTAAACCTAATAGCAGCGATGGCCTCCAACCTAAGAGCGATGGCCTCCAACCTAATAGCGGTAGTCAAGCAATCGCCCAAGAGAAGGTGGGGTGTAGACTGCAATACTACTCGGACGTCAGTGGAAAGTTAATAATACTGCTCATCCACCGGCCGCACGAGTTGTACAAAGCAACAATTATCGCCATTGGACTTCAATGCCGTGTTGGCTGCAGTCACCATCAATAAATACAGACTAAATGAGAACAAATGCAGAGTTCCAAGACTGATATACAGACTTGGAAACAGGTGACAGAATTCACTTAGCAGACCGGGAACAAACAAAATGAAAGAAAAAAAAGGCGTTTCTGAGCCCCGCCGGGGGTCTCCCCGCCGGCTTCCTGCCTTGGCCGTGTCAAGCATGCCGGCCATGCGCCGAAGACTGTCCTTCGCCAAACCGTATTGGTGAATAGATGGAAGGCCACTAGCCCCGTTCGTAGCGTCCTTGCTCCTAGTAGTAAGGCCAGGAGCCCCTAGTAGCGGGTGAATAGATGTAGCATGGACCACGTTGGAAGGCCAATTTATCACAGACAGAATTACTTTATCACATACAGAGCATCTAGTCCTCTGCCAGATCCAGAAAGCCCAAGTGGTGAGCTCTTGCGGCAACAACCCCGATTTCCTCATCATGTGAGAATTCAATTGTATCAAGCACGCAAAAAGTGCTGCCACCAAGCATGCTGTGCGTTCTGACATGTTCTTTTAATCATTGTCCTTTTGCATGCCATGCACATGCACGAAGCTTTCATGTTTGTATCTAGTCGCTAGTTGGTGAAAAAGCCATCCTCACTCGCAAATCTAAACCTTTGCAATCCTCCAAATCCATGTCGAGCCAGTACTGTTGTGGTTTTCCAGTCTAATCCATCAAGGCATTCAAATGAAATATGAACATGTGACTCGCCTCCAGCGGCGCTGCAAGCGCAGCAGCCTCACAAGTCGCTGACAGCGCTTCCGTTGTGCTCTCCAATTGGAGGAAATCACCTGAATCGGAAGTCCGATGCCCATGGCTAAAGTTCTTCCAAGAATTATCCTTTTGCAAGTGTACAAGTGATTTTCAAGAGCTTTCTTCAATATTATTTCCGTGTCCTTTTCCGGCACAAAGTGCCCGCAAGGGCTACCAACGAAAAAAAGAGTCGCGCCTTCCAGGAGGGCCAATAGATCTAGAGCAAAGCGCGCCTGCGATGAAAGCCACAAAACCAAGCTGCACACTGCGGCACTCCACTCATCTCAAGCTGCCTACGGCCTTGCCCTATTTTCAAAAGCTGAGATCTCTGTGTGTGAGTGTCACACAAAAATGACTTCCCTGATCGCTTTAAGCGATCAATCGGAGTCGAATCCTGCGAGAAAGAACGCTGCAATTCTTAGGAGTCTGCATGGGGAAATGCCGATCTCGATTTCAGCAGCAATTGGTGTAATCCGAGACCGTGCGCATTGCGTCAGAGAAGTAGTCACAACAGCTGGCAGATGCGTCAGTGCCTTTGGATGTCTCGAATATCCGGTGAAACATATCCTCAGTCAAAGTCAAAGTCGAAGTGACAGAAAGTGGGAATACACAAATACACAGCAGAAAGTCTGCCGAGAACACAAGGCTTGATAAATGCAGAAGAGTATACAGTATGTTCACAACTTGCAAAATTTGAGTATCATTGCTCTCTGTGCACTTCCGTGTCAATTTCTAGAACACGGATACATCTGTTATCATTGTCTTTGTGCTCCATACCGTTTTTCTTGTTCCTGAGTAACCCTGAGCCCATGAAATTGAGTTCGAGCATACCTACATAAACAATAAATCTGCGACCTATTGTAGTATCATTGCAAAACTAGATCAACTCTACATCTGTCATGAGGATATGGAATAATACATTCAGGAACATGTCCCTGCAACTGCACATGCCGCACATGCCCTCCTTAATGAACTGGCGACTGTGCACCAAAGGCCTTTTGCCAAGGAGCCGCATTCATCTGCCTTCCACTGCAGTACCTGAGAACTCAAAACCTCAAACATCTGCAGTACCTGTGAGTTCTCTTGTGTCATCCCTGCTTTCATCGAAACACATCGCTACGTCCAGCGAACCGTACCGGTCCACCACGTCCTTTCCGTCGGTGTCGCCAAGGCTCGTGTTCGTCAAATGGACGGTTTCGGACCATTTCGCCTCCAGGGGTGGACGAACAGATCCTGCAGCTCTCTGGATGAAGGCCCAATCTTGTCGACCAATTCGCCCATCCAGCATCAACGCCAAGACAAGCATCGAGCAAGCGAAGAGTGCATCTCGATGATTGAGGCCTCGTGTGCAAAGTGACAAAGTCACTACACACTCATGTCACAAAGGACAGAACCAAATTGAGATTGTCAGAGAGCTCCAAAAAACATGTCCGTCTAAGATCTCTTTCTTGCTTGCTGCAGCTCTTCAAGCCTCTTAAAAAGGGTATCAAACATTGTCAAACGAAATCGACCCAGGTTTAAGTTAGCGGCTACCTGCCACCTTCGCTACCTTGGCAGCTACTCCTTGCCTGTCAAGCCATCGAAGAATAGATCCTCTTCATCCAGGCCCAAATCTGCAAGCTCTTCGTGCAGTGTCTCAGTGGGGTCAGCACTTGCAGGCGAGGACCGGCAGCCGCAGCACCGGCGCCGTTGTTTGGATTGAGTCGATCGATGAGATCGCTGAGATACACGGCTTTTTGTTCGTTGCACTCCACACGAATGACCATAGTCCTCCTTCGCTCGCTTTACAAAGGTCTGATCAGCAAAAAGTCCGACCACATGATTCAAAAGAAAGCGCGAGTTGGGATGAAGCTGCATCTTGTAAGTGATGGAAACCCCCACCGCTCGCAGCGCTAAGAGCTTCAATTCATCTGACAAAGGCTCCTCCACATTCTTGGAGCGACGATGTGCCTTGATCAGCTGGCTGGTCACTTCCACCGTCGCCGACGGCCCCAGGGAGCAAATCATGACTTCATTCATTGCATAGTTCACGGTCACTGAATTGAAGACTACATTGATGAACACCTCCACTGCCAATGGAGCGAACTCGGTGACTTTCAAGAGGGTCCGAGGAGCTGCTTTCTTCACAATGAGCTTGATGATGAATTTGGTCACACCGCGGCTGCCCATGTAAATCAAGGCGTAGAAAAGCAAAAGGCATTTGTTGGCTCTTTTGTACGGGTCAATCCCAAAGGTCCGCACTTTCGGATGGCCCAATTCGAGGGCCGAACGAGCAAGGGATCCAGCAAGCATGGCTCGTTCCTTGTCCATTGGCACCAGCAAAATGCCGCAAATACGGGTCATTCTGACGGTGGCCACCAGAGCGGCAATGCAGCACACCACCATTTCGGCCAAAGACCAGAGCAGTGAAAAACTCCCTGCAAGCACATTCCACATGACGAAGTCTTCCTCTTCATCAACTATAGTGGACGTGAAGTCATTGAGGACTTGTGCTAGAAAAGCAGCACCAATCCCCGCTAGTGCTCCAGTAGAGACAGCCGCATACCTGGTCCGCCATAGACTTCGGCGTTTCCTCTCACTAAGAACATGCGCTTTTGTCACCTTTACATCCATGGATTTGATCACTGAAGCTGCAGCAGCCACTGACATCTCCTTTTTCACGTGTGAGTCCTTGGAGGGGATGCCAAATGCAGACGCCAAGCCACTTGCAAGGTCATTGAAGGCAGAACTTACTGCTGCTGCAGCTGCAGCTGCTGCCCCGTAGCTGTTGGTGCTAATTCTCCGCAGTTTGCCCGGCTCTTTTCCTGCTTTTTCAGTATCCTTCTCGGGTTCGAGCTGCATCTTGGGTGCTGGGCTTGTTGGCTTCGGAGTATCAGAAACCCAAAGATCCAGTTTGGGATGAACAACGGCCGAGCGAACAGCTACTGGATTTCGAGCCTCCTTGCGAACAATGCAGGGAAGGTTTGCAACTTGTAAGGGTGAAGTCGTGCGAGAAGCTAATGATGGAAACCGAGATATCTCTGATCTCCAATCTTCTGGCATTTCCACCACTTGAAGCTCTGCATCTGGAAACTTTGGATGGACCACAGCTGGGCGGACGGCCATGGGATTCTTGGCTTCTTTGCGGACAATGCAAGGAATATCAGCAACAACCCAAGCACGTGGAAGTGAGCGGAGCTGCATCTCATGTGCACTGAACTCCTGTCTCTCATGTTTCTCCTCTCTCTTTTCTCCCTCTTTCCTCAAGTGTTTCTCTTGACTTTCTCTTCTCATCCTGGCCTGCATCTCCTTGCAGGACTCCTTGCTTGCTTCGCCTGCCTCGCTTGCCCTTGCCTGGGGCTCCTTGCCTCGAAGTGGAATCTCTGTGAGGTCCAAAGAGAAGTCATCAGATGAGGCCTCTTTACTTCTTCGACTTTTTCGATTTCTGCCATACATTAAGGAGAGCATCCAATATAAAGACTTCTCAATCGCTGGCAATTCTGCAATCACTTGACTCTCCTCTTCACGGCTGATCACCTTGTTGCTTTGCAAGCTTGACGGGAGCTCCACCAAAGCCTCCAAAGTGATCTCCGGGAAAAGCGACGAAAAGTCATCCGTACAAATGCCACGGACAAATTCCTGCCAGGTGATTTCCCCTGAGTCATCGGTATCCAGGAAAGCCATTAAATCAGCAGCTAATTTGAGATCAATGTTCAACAGCTCCATCATCCGAATGATCTCAGGCAAGCTGAGAGTTCCATCTCCATCGAAATCCAACCAGCGAAAGACTTTTCCAAAGAGGGCCACCCGGCCAAGCATCACGTGAAGTTTGCTTTCATCAGTGCCAGAAAGAACTTGAGTGATTGCATCAGTCACCTTCATGTGATTGGTTCTAGTGCATCCATCAAACGAGGAGACAATGATTTGTTGCCGTTCTGGACCATTAATGCCCATCGCTGCCAGCAACGTTTCCACTTCTTTTGCATCGAGGTCACCGGATTGATCCTCATCGATGAGGTCAAAGTGCTCAGAGCAATTCTCCGCAATGGCATGGCGTAAGGTGTTTGGCATTTCATGGAAGAGCTACCGCAAAACTCCACGCAAAGAGCGCAAGAAAGCAAATCTAAAAAAAGGTATGTGTGCAACATTGCATGGTGAAAAGCACATTGTTCCTGGAGTGCGGTTTGGTGGAATTAGGGAGGAATCCAAGCGTGAATCTTGCCGCATGAGACCATGAAAGAATGCTTTGAGGAGACCACGTGGTGATGTTTGTGCTGCGTGTGCTCATAAAACTGGCCAGTGTCTACAAACACTTGGGCAATCCGTGAGCAGCGTTTTTGTGTGAAGAGCAATTTGTCTCAATGGCAAAAACGAAGCATAGAACAGGATTGGCTTGGGTTTGTATGTACTTCCAATGTGATTGCTAGTCTAGTGAAGTAACCGTGTCATGTTCTTGTCTCTCTGATCTCTGCTTCTCAAGCCTCCACCTCATGACGCCCGGTGTAGAAGTACCGGACCAGTGCATGGAAAGCACCCAATACGTAGCTCGGATCCTCGCCGGGCCTCCACAGCCCCAGCTCCTGACCAACCGCGTTGTGCCACCCACTGTGGAGGGAAAAGCATGGCCAAAACCGAGGGAAAGAGATGAAAAGGTCAAAGAGACATGGAAAGACCGACAATCCAAGTAGGTCGACCCCAGAGACCTGGAGGGGCAAGTTGTCTCTCAGGAAAAGCGTTCGTGTCATGAGTCATGAGCCGCTGAGCTCATCTCACCAATGATCCCGGGCTCCTCCACAATACCCAAGTGCACAACTCGCCTTTCTTGCTCTATAAAACCCGCACTCAACGCCCTTGCAAAAAATCCGCTGCGGGTGCAGAGCAGCAAGGCATGAGCACCTTGGAGAGAGAACATGCACACACGAACGAACACGCACATGCACGGCGTTCAGAAATACAATCTCCAGCAAATATGAAGCCGCCATTTAGACTTGAGCACTCTTACTGCTGCCCAGCTTTTTCTCTAAAATTCAAGTCTTGCTTTACGACCCCGACGATGGCTCGTAAGCACGGAAGGAGCTGCATCCGCAACATCGTGAAGGAGCTGTTCGTCTGGAGAATGCACCATGTGCCGCACGTATCAGCACCGATGTGTAGCAAATGGTTGGAGTCAGTTTTGGAGGGGTGGGCATCAGTCGGCTCCACACGTTCGAACTCCTACTTTGGGAAGCGCATGTTAAAAGGCAAACGGCAAGAGTGAAGGAAAGTTGGGAATGATGGAATCAGAGAAGAGTTGGAAAGCGTTGAATCAGAAATGGCCCAAGCAGGGTTCTTCGAGTTAAAGCCGGCCAAATCTATGGTGCTGGTTTTTGAGTCTGTTCGCTTTGAAGGAGTGAACGGAATCTGAAGCTCAGCAACTCTACACAGCTCTGGACAGAGACCGGTGAGGGGAGCGTAGCTGAAGCTGTTGCCCAGCTGTTGTTCACATTTTTGACCTTGGAATTCACATCCCTATTCGATGATTTATAAATCCCTGACGTGTGCCAGACTACTTTAAAACATGCTCAAGCACTGAAGATATCCGTGTCGTTTCCACGATCTCCTTTGTGGAAAACTAACTGTCCGTTGCAGCTGGCCAGGAATTCATGCAGTAGTTAACGCCTGAAGACTTTGGTGTTTGCCAAGATCTTCATCTTTCTGAGGACAACACGTGCTGATGCGGCTTGGCTGTCATCCATGGGCCGTCCGAGAATTACCTCACATTCCGTCTCAATGTGAAAGGCCAGACCGGCATCGGGGGAAGATGTTGAGGTCAGAAAGTCTGTAGATTGGGAATTCATAGCCTTCACTATTAGGTCTTCTTAGGTTGGAGGCCACAAGGCCTGTAGGTTGGAGGGAACTGACAGTCACAAGGCTACAATGGACATCTCAACTTCGTGACGTGACGGAAAGCCGCATCCGACCAGCTGCAGTGACTTGGTCTTCATCGGAGTCGTCGTCATCCAGTTCCTTCAATAGCATGGCCAAATCGTCCTGAACACGTCGGCTTCACAGCATGTCTTCCATCGGATCCAAACCTCGAGCATCTCGAGCCTCCAGTACAGCGCCGGGGGTCCCATGGCCAAGCACCATTCCAGGCAGCAAAGCTGACCAACGTCCGTGACCAGATGCTTCACCCTCAGTGTTGTCAGAGCCCCGTTCGTAGCGTCCATTGCTCCTAGTAGTAAGGCCAGGAGCCCCTAGTAGCGTCCTTTTCTACAAGTTTCGCACAGCAAGTTCTGCCACGAACTACAAAAGGTGCATGTCGGACATTCTTCCACCTTCTTCGACAAGCTCTGTGCACGGCCGGTCCACGGCCCGTGCACCCGTCTGCCTCGCTGCACCAGGCTTTGCAGATTCGTGCCAAAGGCTCGAGCTCCTCGCTGACGAAGGAACAAACGCAAACGCTTAGAGTTCGCTCAAAAAAAGACTGTTGCCAAAAAAGGAACTAATCGCAATGGCCTCTAACCTAACAGCAACGGCCTCCAAAAAGAAAACCAAATCTAATCATATGGCGCTCCAAGAAGTTTGCAGCATCTGCAAGGGCCATCACGCGCCCATGCACTGCCTGGCAGCGTACCAGAATAGCGACATGAGGATGGCCAGTCATCAGATCAAATCCCAGTGCCTTATTGTTTCAGAAAAAATGTAGTGTCTAGTTCTTGAAATGCCTCATCTCGCTCCTCTTACTACCGTGCTTACGTGCCAAACAGCAGTATATATCTGTCAGTACTCTTGCAGCTTTCAGCTTGGCTCAGCTTGGCTCAGCTTGGCTCGGATGTCTACAAACCTTTTAATTGCCTTTTTAGACCTTTGTGAATTTGACAAAACCTGTGCGGTCCCGCTGGGGCACCTTTGAGTCCGAGTCTTGCTCGTGCTCCCAGGGCAACAAGGCTCCGTAGAGATAAGCGATCAAGTCCCTCAAAGCTGTTGCTGAGACACCTGCAAAGCTGGTGCAAAGCTGGTGCAAAGCTGGTGCAATGCTGGTGCAATGCTGGTAAGGCAAGAGCGACCATTAGTCCTTGCCTGGCAGGTAGATTTGAGTCGTCTCCTTCCTGTCACACAGCTCTGTGGCGGCACAAAGGGGATGCATGTTGCATGGCTTGCAACAAGAAGAACCCTGGCCATCACACTGGCTCACATGGATCCTGTAAGCAGCAGGACATCGGCATCGGAGAAGGCAACGGTGCACCTGCACCAATCGGCATGATGCGTTGCACAAAGCAAGACAATCAAAAAAGGCAATCATCCACATTGATAGCTATGTAGCATGTATCTCACATGGCCCATAAAAAGGAGACGCAAGTGACTCACATGATGAACACCAAGTGAATCCTCTTGGGCCACCATTGTGTGTGTGTGTGTGTCGCAGTGCACAAAAACGCTCCCCCTAGTAGCTTCTAGCTACTAGTAGCGATGCACTTGGGCCACCAAGTAGGTTTGGCACTGGAGAGACTGGCCCTGCGGGGCCTTCCAAAAGGGTCTTCTGTTCTCGTCGGTAAACCAGCTCCGGTGTTCTCGTTTGTTTGGAGCTTCAATTCCCTTTGATTGCCGAAAAGCAACCCTCCATTTGACTTGCTCAGCCCAGGGCGCTAGTTGCAACACTGGCTTGCCAAAGCCCTTGTACTCTGCTTTTGTCGTGATGTTTGTCAGTGTTGTGGTCGACGCCAGTGTAATTAGATGTAATTATATAGTATGCACGCACAAAGTTTGTCTGGAGTGTGGACCTAATTCCAAGGTCCCTCACCCTGTTCCCAACCAGAATCTTGGCAATGCTGGTTTGGTGAGATTGTTTTGAAGTGTGCAAGAGTGCACACAATCCGCCTGTCTGAAGCCGTCGTCACACATCAAGGTCGCATAGCTGCCAAACATATCTCTATCTGGCAAACGAAAAATGTCTCCTTCACCGCCTCACTCTTAGAGACCGTCACTTTCACAAACCGCAGCTAAGTAGTAGAAACCTGATTCTGCCAAGCTTCCGCGAGCAGGACCCATGCAAGGCTCTGCTTGCATCAACCTCATCTTCACTGTGTGAAAGGAATTGCGCTGAATTAGCTTGCTCACATACATTCCTGCTACATGGAAGTGTGCTGTACCAAAGGATTCTGTGCTCATTCTCTAATCAGAACGAATGATATTACGTAGGCGTCCGTAAGTCTGAATCCTTCCACATCAACTTTGCCAAGGAATGAAACCACGTCCACGCCCCATCTTCGCAGCTCTTGAAATGCTGAGCAAGTGTCCAAGTGGCTGACCGACTGATGTCTTTCCCTGGAAGAACGGCTGAGAAAACACACACAACTGACATGGCACACGTCCATCATCACATTCTGAGCCGTAGACTAAAGATGAGCTTCCGCCAGCAGCTGTCGTGATTGAGGCACTCTGTGCATCCAGCTCGATATCCTGGCATCTAGGTGGTCGAGCAGATCGAGTGCCAAGCAGACCTCATAAGTTGATCTGCGCAAAACGCGCAGAACACTGCCATAGATGGAGAAAATGACAAACTGTTCAAGCCCTTGGGGTGACCTCAACCCCTCCCTGCATCCCTCAAGCATGTCAGCGTTGCGGCAAAAGGTCCAACAATCAGAAATCAAACTACAAAAAAACTAGTGTTTACATTTACATCTACTGCATCTACTGCAGCAAGCATGGTTGCGCCTGGGTTGCCCTCTGTGAAAAAAGAACTCAGAAACTGCGTTTGAGGGTATTTGTGGCGACAGAAAAAAAAGAACATGTCTATCATGTCACGTCTGTCTTTGCACCTGCAGTTTGCCACTGGCTTAGTTGCTTCAATGGCCTCCACCCTAGTAGCGATGGCCTCCAACCTAGTAGCAAAGGCCTCCAAGCTACTAGCAATGGCCTCCAGCCTACTAGCGATGGCCTCCACTGCCTCCGCTTCAATGAGAATTCTAAAAGCCTCCCATGGTGCCGATGCCGCCCATAGCTGATGCATGCTGATGCTATGTGCCATCCCGTCCTCCATGGCCATCCAAATGCCAACTGAGACGCAAATGTCCCTCTGCCGTGTCGGCACCCCGACGGCGTTCGGTGCGCTGCTCGCTCTGGTCTGCGAAACCGAACG